AGAAGAGGAAATCCAAAAGGTCAGCAAACATGAAAAGATAATAGCCAGAAAAAATTCAAAGGAAAGCAACAGAACAGAAAATTTTAAAACGTGATTAACATCCAGTACCGACAAAGAGGGAGAAAATAGGCAAACCCATGCATTTTTGGGCGGAGTGTGCATTACTACAATATTTTGCAACACAATCTTGCAATATTTATTAAATATGTAAATTCACCTACTCCTAGACCCAGCGAGCCTTATGTTTCAAAAATCGATCCTATAGAAATAAAAACTCCAATTGGTAAGAGTATATGTACAGGAACATTGATTTCATTATCGTTTATTGGTAGAAAAAGCTGAGAACTATCTGAATGGTCATAATTATGAAAACATCTACCCCAGAATGAATGTCTATTTTCAGTATCCTGAACATCCCATTGTTCTACTCAGCATCAAGCCTTTGGACAGTCTGTTTCTTTTACCCAAACTGCTCCCTAATTCTGACAAAAACTTTCTCATCCTTCAAGTCTCAACAAAGATATGATAATGTTTTTAAAGGGTGTAAGAGAGAAAGTATCATGAAAATGTAAATCACGTGCACTGGCTAGCAACTGGATGAATCTCACAAACAAAGTGAAAGAAGCCAGACGCAAAGGAGCGCATACAGTGGAACAGAAAGTTCGAGGATAAGCAAAGCCGACTGTGCTTTGGGAGGTCGTGACTCGGACAGGGCACATGGAGGCTTCGGGAATCTATCACTTTCTATTTCTTGATCTGGATGCTGGCCACAGGGTGAGTTCACTGTGTGAAAATTCACCAAGCCGATAACGATGTGTGTACTTTTCTGTGTGTACACTGTACTTCAATAAAAAGTTAAAAATAAACCCAACCTATTTTAGGAAGTTACCTTCTGGATATAACCAAGAAGAAATCTGTAGGTGAACCAATGGTACCTAAGAAGAGAACACTGAATTCAATCTCTATGCTGTCGCCTGTAACATTCTATCCCCATAAAATATAAAAATGTGCTAATTTATAAATTGCCTTTTAAAAATCAGAAAGCTTTCACTCTGCTGTTTTTCACTCCAATAGTTGAATTGTCATCAACAACAATACAAGTTAACAGTCAGCAGGCCCCATCCCAGGGCTTGTACTGAGCATTTAACAAACATCACCCTGCTGGCTCCTCACGACAGTCCTGTGAGGTGGGTGTTGTTCCCATTTCTCAGATGAGGAAACTGAAGTTCAAAGATCTAGTGACTCACTAAAGGTCAGAGGTAATTAGGGTCAGAACTGGTTTGCTAACTCCAGATCTCATGCTTTTACAGAAAAAATATCTCTATAAGAGGTAGAGTAGCTAAAAAAAGAAAACAGAAATATCTTTTTAGAGACTCATTTGGGTTTTTTTAAATTATTTCTGAAACAGCTCTATTGAGGTACAACTTATAGACAATAAATTACCGGTCAAGTATACCACTGATGCTTTGATATGCGTATATGCCCATGAAACCAGCTCCATAATCAAGACACTGACCATGTGTATCATCCCCCAATTTTCCTCATGACCCTATTCCTGTTCTCAGGCAATCACTAATCTGTTTTCTGCCACTATAAATTAGTTGGAATTTTCTAGAAATAGAATCAAATATAGAGAGAACAAACTAGTGGTTACCAGTGGGGAGGGGGGAGAGGAGCAATACAGAGTTGGGGAATGGGAGGTACAAACTATCAGATGTGAGATAGGCTACAAGGATGTATAGTACAACACGGGGAATATAGGAAATATTTTGCAATAACTGTAAATGGAGTGTGACCTTTAAAAATTGTGCAAAAAATTAAAAATTTAAAAAATAGAAATAGAATTAAACAGCATGTGTTCTTTTTTATCTGGCTTCTTTCACTCAGTGTACTTATTTTTGATTCATCTATCTTGTTGTATGTCCAAACTTAATTTCTTCTGGTTGCTGTGTAGTATTCCATTTTTCTATACTACAAAGCTACAGTAATCAAGACAGTATGGTACGGGCACAAAAACAGAAATATAGATCAATGAAACAGGATAGAAAGCCCAGAGAGAAACCCACGCACATATGGTCACCTTATCTTTGATAAAGGAGGCAAAAATATATAGTGGAGAAAAGACAGTGTCTTCAATAAGTGGTGCTGGGAAAACTGGACAGGTACATGTAAAAGTATGAGATTAGGACACTCCCTAACACCATACACAGAAATAAACTCAAAATGGATTAAAGACCTAAATGTAAGGCCAGATACTATAAAACTCTTAGAGGAAAACATAGTTGTTGTTTTTTTTAACAATGCCATTTCCTCTACTAAATATTCAAAAGCCTCACTAAGATTTTTGGAGAAAAGGATCACTTTTCATCAATGGCACCTGGGACAGTCCCCAAATAGGAAATAAGCCAATGTAATAAATTGTGAAAATTTATCAGAAATAATGAAATGAGACATCAGGGCAACCACACCCTCAAGGAATGGTGATGGTGGGGAATTTTTATATGCTGTCTGGGGCAAGGGGAGAAGGGATATATATAATGTAGTAGTCAAAAGCACAAGTCCTAGAGCCAACCTGCCTGGTTTCAAATCCAGTTCCATCATTTACTGGCAGTGAGACGTTCCAAGGAGAGAGATGGTTGCCCATGTCACATGCTACTGAGAAGTTGAGACAGCCAAGGACAGAGGAAGGGTCACTGGGTGTGATGGTTTCAACGTCACTGATGTCCTTCCCAAGGGCAGGTTCAGTTCAGCAGTGTGTGTAGAAAGGATTACCAGAGGTTTTAGATGAGTGTGTGGGAGAACAGGAGAGGCAGCGAGAGGCAGTCACTCCAGGGGGAAACGAGTTCCAAGTCCCAATTCGAAAAGCCAAAACCACACTTTGGAATGCATGTCTCAGTCGTGGGAGGTACGGGAGAGGGAGGGCATGAAAGCTAACCCTCTGCCCCTGATACCCCCTACACTCCCGTGAGAAACTGTAAGGTTTCTATAATGTTATAAGATAACCATTCCGTCATGTGGTGCTTCTCAACTTCAGTATTTCCAAATACATCACCTCCCTGACTTCTGCATGTCCGTACAGTAGCTCTACCATTATTTTGTTAGTAACGGTCTTGAAATGGGCTCGCTTTTAAAATGAAATTGACAGGTACTTTAAGGGATATTTTATAACACAACCATCAATAGTAATGGCGTATCATTAGCCTTGAACAGAAGGTACTCCATAAAACTAAATGCAAGGAAAAACAGAAATATAATTGAAGCCAAGCAAAGTTTTAAAAATTCTAGCCAAATGCTGTTGCTCCCTCAGTTGGAGAAATGCTGTAACACTCTGACCTCCACCTGTGATCAAAACCAAAACCAATGCTAAGGGGGAAGGGGGGTTGGGGGAGGGAAGTATTGGGATGTAGGGATTGGCAGATGCAAACTATTATATACAGAATGCACAAACAAGAAGATCCTACTGGATAGCACAGGAAACTACATTCAGTATCCTGTAACAAACCATACTGGAAAAGAATATAAAAACGAATGTATACATATGTATAACTGAATCACTTTGCTGTACAGCAGAAATTAACACACTGTAAATCAACTACACTTCAATTAAAAAACAAAACCCCAAACAAAACATTAGAAACAGTGCTAACATGGTAGTGTATACACACATAAAAATGAAACAAGTTACAAAAAAAGTACTCACCCTTACTACGGACGATGTGCTATGACATTCTCCATTCTAGTCCGTATCTTTTTAAAATAAGGGACTTGATTCCCTACATGGAGTCACCATCCATTAATGGCCTAGTACACAGTTTCAAAAACAATGGATTAGTAAATATGGCATTAGTGTTAAAGACACACCAGCACCAGCCTGAGATCTTCAACTTGGACTTCTTAAGATCTGAAAGGTCCTTAAGACCTTACTGAAAAGGCAGTAACTTTCTCACCAGGTAAATCAATGTCATTTCACGCTGTGTCACCACCCGGACCCCTGTCAACAGGCGTGCTGCTGTGTAACGGGGGACAGGTCACACTGCAGGGAAAGCTGATCTAGAGACTCTGCAAGTCTCTAGTAAGGGGCCGTGATCTCTCGGACGGGAGAGGGCCGGCGGGCTGCCTCACTGCCGCTCTGCACACACAGGCTCAGGTTCACAGCCCCAGTCACATAACCAAAAATTTCATTAGGTGTGGACAGGCCTTATGTCTTTGAATTGGAGGCCAGGTCTCCAGGGCCCCTTTTAATCTGCATCATAACTGTATTAGTTTCCTACTGCTGCTGTAACAAGTGACCACAAACTTAGCAGCTTACAACAACACAAATTTATTCTCTTAGTGTTCTGGAGGTCTGAAATCTGAAACCAGCTTCACTGGGCTAAAGTCGAAGTGCCAGCAAGGCTGGCTCCGTTTGGATGCTCTGAGATGTTCTCTTTCCCTTTTCAGCATCTGGTGGCCGCCTGTATTCCTCCACTTCCACCCCTTCCCCCACATTCAAAGCGCATCACTCCAGTCTCTGCTTCTGGCATCACATGCCTCCTTCTCCTCCGACTCTGACACCCCTGCCTTCCCTTATAAGGAAAGACTCTTGTGAGGACATCCGGCCCACTTGGAGGCTCTTGGGTAATCTCCCATCTCAAGATCCTTAATCACATCTTCAAAGCCCCTTTTGCCACATGTTCACAGTTGGAGGGATCAGGGGCTCATCATTCATCCTGCCACAATGACCAAGGTGAAGGCGGATTTAAGCAGGAAAGGGCAGAAACGGGAGCAGAGACGAGCTCCAACATCTGGTCAAGGTGCCAAGTGCAATGTCGGGTGCTGCAAACGGGAGCACACAGGAGTAAATCCCACAACGGACGCAACAGACGAGCTAAGTCTGACTCACAGGGAGCGAGCCAAGGTCAAGGTCGGGTTAGGACCTCTGGTTCCAGCTGACACAGAGGTGAACCGCAGCCCACCCAGGGGAGCAAAGGATAAACAGCAGAGGACCAACACACCGGCAATGGCAACTGAGATTTATTTAAACGGTAAAAGCCGACAGGAACAGGAACTGGTACAAGCACCTCGGTCAGTGAGGTCTCTCGGCGAGCGGGGAGACTGGTAGCCGAGGCCTAACCACCACTCAGGAAACTCGGAGACTCAACTCCGGAAAGGTCAGTGGCTTCAGCTCCGGCTCAGCACGAGTCTTGAACAGATCAGTAAGTTATTTCCTTCAAGCCTGGGAGGAAACACACAGAAGCTGTGAAGAGGCTCTCACGGATTGGGGCAAACAGCCAGTGGTGGGAGAATGTGACCCCCAGATCCCAGGCCCACAGTGACTGGCTCTGGGGCACCAGTCACACGTGTGATCACCGCAGCCCCGGCCTCCTGGTTGTGTAAGATGAGACTTCACAAGGCAACAGGAGGTTGGATGAGACTGTGTTTATGGGTGGTTTTGAAGGGATTGAGAAATGTTATAAGAGTTTACGGGCTCTCCGCAGTAAACCTGAAAGTCTATCCTTTAAACGCTGAACTTTTTTTTTTTCTGAATAATACTTCTCATTCAGACAACTTGTTTAAGGAGTTCATTCCTGAGTGTTCTGCTTTTTACCTTAAACATTTAAAAATTAATATTGGCCCGTTTTTGGTGAGAAAGAAGCCAAAGGGCTAGTGACTAGCCTTAGCAATTTTGTTCACCCTTTTTTTTTTTTTTTTTTGCGGTACGTGGGCCTCTCACTGTTGCGGCCTCTCCCGTTGCGGAGCCCAGGCTCCGGACGCGCAGGCTCAGCGGCCATGGCTCACGGGCGCAGCCGCTCCACGGCATCTTCCCAGACTGGGGCACGAACCCGTGTCCCCTGCATCGGCAGGCGGACTCTCAACCACTGCGCCACCAGAGAAGCCCCACCCTTTTCTCTTTGAGTCAAATTCAGTAATAAAAGACTAGTGTAGGCAATTTATTTCTTCACATGTCTAGTAATTTTTTTATCGTATACTGACATGGCAGATAGTAAGTTGACGAGACTCTGAAGTCTAGTGTCTTCCTCTGAAGAGTGCTGAGTTTTGTTCTGGCAGGCAATTATCTTATTGGAGAACCATCCTGATCTACAGTCGTGGCTGCAGGGTTGTTTTAGTACGAATCTGTCTAGGTTTTGTACTAGAGCCTATTCTTTAGGACTTGGCCTTTTAAATGCTGAACTTCAAGCAAACACAGTTCTTTCTTCCCCACAGACATATAAGTACAGTAAGTCCCCTACATACAAATGAGTTCCATTCCGAGAGCGCATTCATTAAGTCCAATTTGTTTGTTAAGTGCAACAAAGTTAGCCTAGGTACCCAACTAACACAATCGGCTATAGAGTACTACAGTACTACAGTACTACTATATAGTACTGTACTACAGGTCTATAATACTTTTCACACAAATAGTACTTGAAAAACAAACACAAAAAATAAAGAAAACATTTTTAATCTTACAGTACAGTACCTTGAAAAGTACAGTAGTACAGTACAACAGCTGGCATACAGGGGCTGGCATCGAGTGAACAAGCAAGGAGAGAGTTACTGACTGGAGGAGGGAGAGGAGGTGGGAGATGGTAGAAATGAAGGATCATCAGCAATAGGAGACGGAGGGCAAGCTGCAATTTCACTCATGCATGACGTTGATGCAACGCAAGTTTGCATCTTTGAAAGTTCACACCTTGAAGGTCTGTATGTAAGGGACTTACTGTACTGATACAACAAAGCAGCCAGGCGCAAAGTGGGGAAAAGAAGCCCCTTACATAAAAATGCTCAATACATTGCTACTTTACAGAAACTAGAATTAACTCTGTGCTATTACAAACCACCTATATTTTTTAAAGTGTGAGAAAGTTAAGTAAATTCAGACATAGCCTCATGACAGAGTATTTATAAAGCCATTAAAGTGCAAGGGGAAATGCTTATAATATTAAGTTAAAAAGATCAGGAATCAAGGTTACATAAATAGATAAATTCAACTCTGCTAAAAACAAAACAACAGCTATAAAAAGAATGGAAGGGAAAAGCTGCCAGAGGTTATCTCTGAGTGACGGGCATACGGGTGATTTTTTTTTCTTTGCCATACTTTTTTAGAAGTTTCCAAAGTCCCTACTAAAAATTACACTGTTTTTAAAAGTGCGGGAGGACAGCAGTACAAAACACACTAATAAACGATTTTTTAAATAAAAAATAACTTAAATGGATTTTGTGGGCTGAACTGCCCAGCTGGGTAAATTTATAAACTAGCAGAAAGATAAGCCCAAGGGGGATGATTAACAACCTGGAATTTTCACACAGGAGACAGTTTGTGACTCTGCCAAGTTCTTTGTTTTGTATGGACTACCTGCCTAAAGCCATGTGTCAGACACATCGATAGGAAGCTTAAGGGCAACTATGACATTAAAGGCCAGGACCGAGATCTAAAATGGTCTCCACTGTCTGGAGAGCCGCCCAAGGGCTATCTCCCAGGGGAAGCAAGGTCAACAAGGGGCAGCTTTAAAGGAGGAACTCGATCAAGATCAAGGCAACAAGAAACACTGAGACAAGGCTCCATGCTCTGTCCCTATGGCCCTACTCTTCCAGGCCGGGGAAATTCATCTTAAATATAAGAGAAGAGAGAAATTCAACCCACAGCTACAGGGGTGTTGGAGAGATATAATGATCTGTGTGTTTAACATCTAGTAAACCTGGTTACAAGTTGATTAAAAAGACAATCATTGGGTCCTTTTATTAAGATGATTACAAGACTCAAGGTCTCTTACCATCCAGCTGAGAAAATTCCACAGTCTTCTAAAGGGCTGTTGTTTTTTTTTCATACATGTGGTTTATTTAAACAGTTCTCCTGGGTTTTGTGCTATAAAAACACGGAGGATATAACAGCTGATTCTCTGGCTATGTTCACGGATCGGATCCACGTATATATATACGTCCCCTAGTTCTTCCTGGGTCAAAAATTCCCGTCAAGACTTATGTTCTCTGGAGACAAAAAAATTCCCCCTTTCTAGGTTAAATCAATACAAGTGAAGTCACCTACCCAGTTCACTTCCTCCTTTGGTGGCCCAGCAAAGGCAGTAATGCTGCATCAGTTGTTCAAGAAGCTCCATTTCATCCAGGAATTCAAGAGACTCTATTCTGTGGAGAGAATGAAGAGACAACAGTACAAATGTATCCAATCAAAAATGAAGGTCATGACCCATGCTTATAGTCATGGAAAGGTGTTCAGGATATACTATGTGAAAAGAAGCAGGCTACAGAATAGTATGCATGGTGTGGGCCCATTTTAAATTATTTTTATTGAAAAGGAGAAAAAATCCCATAAGCAAAGTCAAAAGTGACAAATGACAAACTAGAAAAAAAATGTTTGCAATAGAAATGACAAGGGGTAGATTTTGTTGTTATATAAAGAGCTGTTACACTTCAATAAGAACATCTTTTAAAACTTATTTAAAAGATGGGTAAAAGACCAGTTCACTGGCAAGGAAAAACAAGAGCTTTTCAACCTCATTTATGTGAAAAGAAATGTAAATTAAAACACATGAAATGTTTTCAGCTAACAGTTGACAAAGATAAAAAAGGCTGATACATCCTTAAAAATAAATAAACATTTTTTTAAAGGTTGATATACATTTTACCAAGGACATGGGAAAGAGGTGCTCTCCTGCATTACTAGCAGGATGACAAAATAGTATAACCCCTCTGGAGGGCAATTTGACCACCTCTATCAATGTTTAAAATGTACGCCCTTTCATTTTGCAATTCTGCTTTAAGAATTCACCCGATAGGTGTTCAAGAAATCTCACTGCAGCATCACAGCTGCAATGTAGTACAGCAAAAAGACAAAACAAAAAACAAACTTTAAAGTAGAAGAGATGGGTTGAATAGATTAAACACATTCATACAATAGGATACTGTGCAGCCATATAGGGTAGGTTTATATGAATTGACATGGAACCTAAGACCTATCATAGAATTTAAAAAGCAAGTTGTTTAGGAGGTAATGTACCTAGTATATTACTATCTATGTAAAGAAAAAGTGGGGGATATATATGGTTATACATACATGGACTAATTTTGGAAACTGCAGAAGAAAGTGGTAATGGTGGTTGTCTCTTGAAACAGAAGGTGGTTGATGGCAGTGAGGGTGAGTAACCAGGTGTTTTGTTCTGTTTTCACTCTGTACTACTTTATTCTGGTTACATTTTTTCCCCATCATTTGCTTATATGACTTTTTTCCAAAAATCATTTTAAATGTAAACTTTTAAATATATACACACACAGAGAAACATACGAAAACAGCTCTTTAAAATGTTTTCTGTTGAGATATGCACACACTGGGGCGGTGGGGACAACGCAGGCATTTCCAAAAAGAGTAAAGAAGAAAAATAAAAGGTGATTCATATTCCACTATTTACAGCCACTGTTAACATGCTGGTATTGCCATTTGTCCAGGCTGTGTGTGTCTGTATCTGTGCGCATGTGCGTGTCCATGAAAGTGTATAGATGTACACGCTTGTGCATGTTTCTGTATTTGTGCTTAGCTCCCACCCTGGCGTGCAGGCCAAAGAGTCACATCTGAAGTAAGAATGACTATCCAAGGAGTACTCTGGTGGCTTCCCAACTAATCTTAGCAGAGGACCTCAAGGCAGGCTTCCTAGTATGAGAAGGAACCAGCATCACGATCAAGGTTCCATCACCGTCATGACCAAGTTCAACTATCAGGACACACTAGACTGCGAAGTTGTTCCCTAGAAGGTGAACTCCGCAAAGGCAGGCATGACGCACAGTAGGCAACTGTTAAATCAACAGGCCTGCCTCCGGTTTCTTTTCATACGGAGTATGTGGCAAAAGCCCTTGACAAATGTAGACACAAACTATGAGGCATCTGCAGAGCTGGGAGGGCTGGTCGGCCTGGGGTGGACAGACTGAAGCCTGTCCCGCCTCTTTACCCACCTCTGTTAGGACAAAGGCTGCTGTTTGCAACGTAACTAAATGCCCAGCTATAGACATTACTTTTTAATTACTTTAAAATTATTATTATCAAGGAAACAACCTAAGTGTCCATTGATGGATGAATGGATAAAGAAAATGTGGTATATATACTGAGATTTACAATGGAGTATTATTCAGCCATAAAAAAGAATGAAATCTTGCCGCATGTGACAACATGGATGGACCCGGAGGACGTTATGCTAAAGGAAATAAGTCAGAGAAAGACAAATACTGTAGGATGTCTCTTCATGTGGAATCTAAAAGAAAACAAACAAACAAACAAAACAATTGGTAGGTGCTGGAGGTGGGCGGTGGGAGGGCAGGCAGGCAAAATATGTGAAGGGGGTCAAAAGGAACAAACTTCCGGCTGTGAAATACGTAAGTCACGGGGAAGTAACGTACAGCATGGTTATTATAGTCAATAATGCTGTATTGCATATTTGAAAGTTGTTAAGAGTAAATCTCAAAAGTTCTCATCACAAGAAAAAAAAATTCTGGGAAAGTAGTGAAGATTGCTGCCATGTCCTGCCTGCCATTTGCTGCACACGGTGGGGTGTTGCTGCAGGACCTTGCTTCAGATGTGATGGCCTGCGCTATGCAACCACTGGAAACTTCTTGCTCATCATTTGCCTGAAATCTTGGCTTGTGTTCACCTTTTTAAACAAAAAATATGCACCAAAAATGCCCACAAATTCAGCTACTAAATCTCCTTTAAAGATCTTCTTTAGAAGATCTTTTATTCTTTGGACTAACTGTGAAGAAACTGATGGAAGGTTTGTTTATTATGTTCTAAATGGAGTTTTGTTTACTACTCAAAATAAAGTGGTTCTCCTTAAAAAAAAAAAAAATCCTGTATGTGCAGTGACCGATGTAACTGGACTTATTGTTATCATTTCACAATATATACAAACATCGAATCATTATGTTGTGTACCTGAAACTAATGTTGTCTGTCAATTACACCTCAATTTTAAAAACTGTTATTAATATATATCCACACATAAATAACAGGTACCACTAAACAGGATGTGGTAACCCTGAACATCTTGACATGTAGAGATAAATACAATCTATTGCTAAGCTTTTGAGAGGATGGTGGTTTACAGATCAATACATGTAATATCACTCTACTGATTCAAAAAATATAAATCTATATACTGATAAATATTTATCTTTATATACACATAGAAAAAGAATACACCCCAGCTCTCTCTGGAGGGTGCTACAGCGCTCACAACTGCTCTATATTTCATGCACTTTACACTGCTCAAAAATTGTTTTAGTAGAACAACGAGCATGTATTTCTTTTGTAATGAGAGGAAAAGTCCACTTAAAAATCCATAAGCAGACTTTTCCCCCTTTAGGAGCCCTTGGGCAACGTCATTTTCCTGCTTCTCCAAAACACAGGGATTGTGCAAGATTTCCACTGCAGAGGTGTAACTGCTTATTTCAACTAAGATAATCTGTTTGGGCATAAACCTTATCTTGGCTAATAGCTAATAAGTTACTCTCAAGGAGCTATCAATGTTTAATCTACATTAGCAGCAGTTTAACTTGTTTCAAAATAAGTCTAGTTCAGGGTTGAATTTTTTTTTGTTTTTGTTTTAAACATTAAAGGATACAGACAATGATGCCTTTACTTCACAGTTATCTGCCATGGAGCAAACTCTTGCCAATCCCATACCTGCTCACTTCGGCACGAGGTAATTTGCTGTACAATTCCATCATGTCAATGGCTGATGCCGATTCCCACCCACTCGACAGGAGCCGTTCTTTCTAAAATGTGCAGTGGAGAGAAAGGGAGAGGACAACGTGCTGTCATATGACCCGAGACACTCTTCACGCACACAGAATTTCCCTCGGAGGACTCCTCTTTCAAAAGTCCACCGTGGCCACTATCATCTTTCTTTTTTTTTTTTAATTTTCCCATTTTCTATACTGAACACGCATTGTTACAATGGGGGAAAATGCATACTAAAGTATAATATTTAAAGAGAAATAAAGGAAGAAACTTTTCTATAAGCAACAGTTTTTTAAAGTACCCCAGTGGTAATGTGACACAAGCCATGTAAAAACTAACGTATTTAAATGGGGGCAGGGGTGGGAAGTGTCACTTTAGCAAAAAATTTTCAAAGGTGGGGGAGTGCTGGGGGCGGGAACTATTACAGGTTCCAAGAGATTTAAGGGATCGATCAGTCAAGTACAAAGTGGGAACCATGTTTGGATCCTGATTCAAATACACCAACTATGAACATTTTTTTAGACGACTGGGGAAAACTGGAGATGAACTGGGTGTTAGGTGCTATGAAGGAGTTCGTGTCAACTTGTAAGGTGTGATAATGGTATCATCATTATCCTGGGGGGTAGAAGGTCCTCATTTTTTTTTTAATTTATTATTTTATTTTTGGCTGCTCTGGGTCTCTTTTTGCTGTGCACGGGCTTTCTCTAGTTGCGGCAAGCGGGGGCTACTCTTTGTTGCGGTGCGCGGGCTTCTCATTGCAGTGGCTTCTCTTGTTGCGGAGCACGAGCTCTAGGCGCGTGGGCTTCAGTAGTTGTGGCACGCAGGCTCAGTAGTTGTGGTTCATGGGCTCTAGAGCAGAGGCTCAGTAGCTGTGGTGCACAGGCTTAGTTGCTCCACGGCATGTGGGATCTTCCCGGACGAGGGCTTGAACCCGTGTCCCCTGCATTGGCAGGCGGATTCTTAACCACTGCGCCACCAGGGAAGCCCAGAAGGTCCTTATTGGTAGGAGAGTCACCTGAAGTATTTATGGGGAAAATGATATACTGTCTGGGATCTGCCTTAAAATATTCCAATGACACCACCAACAAAAATTTGGAGGCGGGGGGATAAATCAAACGATAATGACAAAATGTTATTAAATTATTGAAGCTGGCTGATGGAATATGGGTGTTCATTTTAACTATTCCCTCTGCTCTTATGTTGTTTGAAAAACGGCATAATAAGAAGTTAAGATAATAGGGGGTCGGAAATGTAAATCTGCATCTTCCATACCAAGATGGCAGGACAGGGCTTGGATTTCCCCCAGCACGATGAACCAGTAGCCCACGTGGAGCCCTAGCTGCCCGGAGGCAGGCACTCATGAGGGACTCTCACATTCTCTTATCTGTGAAGGGAGGGTGCCCTTTCTCGGTTGGCTAACGTTACAAGAGGATGTCCTGGTCTCTGCCCTCTGACCTGAGACTCTAACGACTTGCAGGTCTCCACTCCCGCCAGGTCACACTGTCGTCTCCGCAGGTTCTCAATCATGATCTGCCCAAACCGGTCATCCATGTTCACCTGGGAAGGGACAGAGGAGGCTGGGCACTGCCACAAGGATCTCTTTGTTTGTTAAATATGCAAGATTAAAACAACATCCTATTTCTAACCAGTCAAGGCTGATAATACCAACTGCAGGTCACAGAATCCTGAGTGCCATGCTGATGGAGTAGAGCCCCTCGAAAGGCAATTGGGCAGTGTCCATCCATTGCAAACACTCAGTCTGGGATCCAACAATTCCACTGCCAGCAACCTGTCCTATAGATAGACTCACACGTGAACGCAAAGATGCGAGCACATTTACTGCAGCATTATGTATGATAGGAAGAATCTGGAAAGAACTTAAGTACTCATCATTTGGGGTTAAATTAATTCTGGCATGTTCATATAATGAAATACTATATAGCTGTGAAAACAGGAAAGGAAGATAGATAGATAAACAGACGGACAGATATGAAATGATCCCTAAGATAAACTCTTGAAAAGTAAGGTACAGAGGAGTGTGTGTAGTGTGCTCCCATCTGCCTTTAGGAAAAAAAAGAAGAAGAAACTCTCTCCACATTTATATATGCGTAGGAAAATTCTGGAATACAGCAAGGTTGCTTCCCAGATTAGAGGCTGAGGTCTTGGGTAGATAAGAGACTTACTTTTCTTTGTCTACCCTATCAAACTATATGATTTTTTGTTTTATTCTGCATGTGGCATTACTTTTTGAATAAAAAACTGGTTTATAAAACATAATTTATATATGTGCACAACTGTCACAAAACAAAATATTGTGTACATGGGAATTCCCTGGTGGTCGTGGATAAGAGTCTGTGCTTTCATTGCCGAGGGCGTGGATTCAATCCCTGGTTGGGGAACTAATATCCCACAAGCCGCATGCAGTGAGGCCAAAATATATATATATATTATGTGCATTATTGTATTGAGAGCATATTATTATTATATCATATTATTATATCATATTATATCATATTATTATATCATTATTGTATTGAGAGCACTGTTATTCTGTCATATACAAGGTATCTAAAATTCAGCACTTTAACAATATATGAAGTGATTCCCGGATTCAAAAGCCAACACCAACGCCAACGCTACAAGACAAAATCCAATGTTACTCTTTTTTAGGGGGATGCATAAGGCTTATGTGGCACTAATGATAGGATTGCACACTATTCACTCAGGATACAAGCATATTTGTGAGCACAAACTCCTTCATTTTATTGCCTAGGTTTGAATCCTGGCTTGATACTTAATAGCTGTGAGGCTGTGAGCAAGATGCCTAACCCCTTGGTTCAATAGTCCTCTTACCTGTAAAACTAGGATAGTACTAGTACCCACCTTGAGGGTTGTTGTGATGATTAAATAAGTTAATATATATGAAACTCAAAGAATAGCGCCTGCTATACAAGTCATCAGGTTCAAAGAATGTGCAATAATTATTATCATTACTGAAATAACCGTCATCCATATGGTTTTGTCATTTAACCACTAATTAAAAATAATACATGTTATGTGAGCAATTGACAAATGTGAGGAGGATGATTCTGTACTTGTTAGGAAAGAACTGAATTAAGTTAAAAGTTTATTCACAAAATGAAGGTGTTGGGTAGGGTTTAACCCCATCTAAGGACAGCTGTGGTCAACATACTGAAAACTGGCACATTCTCAGGCCTGTTCCAAAGTGACAGTGTCTCTAGTCAAAACTCACTTAACCCATTGTCTCTCATGTGATGTTGACTAAAGGTTTGTTGAATAAAAGAATACAAAAATGAAGCAGAGTGAATGAAATGGTACACATCCGAAACGTGTGGAAACATGGGAAGTGGAATTCCTTTTCCCCCGGTATGGTATCCTGAAAGCAAAGATAGGTCACCAGGATTTATCCACATCAATACTAAAGACCGATGAGGCCAGCTACCATTATATCCATTCACTAGGACAGAAGACTGAGTCTGAGGAATGCCTCCAATTAAACAGAAAAGGAAGAAAAATTAAACAACCAAGAACCACCTATACAGGAACCTGGACTGGGTAAGGGGTGGGAAGGAGGCCAGGAGATCAAGGTCTAGCCTTAGACTTCTTCATAGCTACGTGACATTGGGCAAGGTCCTGTACTGCCCTTATCTGTAATAAAATATAAAAATAAAATAAAATGAGGTAAAAAACAAAATAAAATCAATAAAGCTAAACTAAAATAAACAATAAAAGTAGCTAAAGTGTATTCAGTGCTTATCATTAGTCCACTGCTGTTCAACATCTCATGAATTCCCATAATAATCCAGAGAAGCAGGTATTCTTTTTTTTTTAATGAATGCACTTGCCACATTTAATCTGAATTATTTAGACTTGAGAGGTAGGTATTCTTATCCTAGGTATCTATGTATCTAGATACCTAGATACCTAGGTATCTAGGTAGGTATCTCTCTTTATCAGAGAGATCCAAATAATAGCTAACTTAATAATAGCTTACTTAAGAGCCAGGCAATGCTGTAAATGCTTGTGCACCTATTAACTCATTTATTAATTATGAAGTCGGGATATTATTATCCTCACTTTTCTGATGAGGAAGCAGGCACAGAGAGGTTAAGTAACTTGTCCAGGTCACACAGCTAGGCAGCCTGCCTCCAGAGCATGGACTCCCAACCACGAAGCAATTCTGCTCACGTCACACAGTCAATAATAAGAGCTAGGGCCAAGATTCAGATCCAATCTGAATTATTCCGAAGCCCTAAAACATAACCCCTTTCGGCACTGGATCAAAGGAGAAAAACAGGGAGCTCGTGGGTCAAGCTCAGTGATTTTAGAAAGTAGGAAATTTTACATTAAAATCCTGCATTTCTAACCTTTCTTGAAAAACTGGGAGTTCAGGCAACTCGAGGCTCACTGCACATGGTAACACATGGATGGCTGGAACTGAATAGTGGGCACCCCATGAAATGGGACATGGGTGCCCCAGTTCACCACAGTCCCCATCACTCCACACTATATAACACCTAACCAACTGCCTGCATCTGCATCACTACCTGTCTCTGAAGGCATCTGAGTTTGCTACCCCTACACTGATGATAGCCAAAATTCCTTCCATCAAAATCTATGACTTTACAGGAAACACAATGATAAGAACTCGAACAACTTTCTTAAAGGACAAGACAGAAGTTCCAAAAACTCTGGCTAAAAGTTGGCCGGCAGTCAAGAACTCAGGAGTACTACGTTTGCGGGAACCGATTAATAAAGGAGATATGTGAGTGGAGGCAAAAGGAAAAGAGTAAGTGAAAACATTCCGAGGGTGCTCAGATAGAGAAAGCCACCACTGGAGTCCCAGGCAGAAGGCAAGTTTCTCGTGCTTCCTTTTACCTGTTCGTAGTTTATGAACATGGCAGTCTCAAAACTCTTGGCTGCCCACTTGAGAAGGTTTGTAGACTGCTCCGGAGTCATGTAAACCAGCACACACTCAGCTATCAGGAGGGTTGGCAATCTTAACGAAAGAAAAAAAAGGCACATAAATATGTTTTCACCAAAACGGGACTCTCAAATTGCATTCACATTACAGGCAGGGCACTTCATACCCCAGGAAAACCAGAAGCACTAGTTTTCACATAAACAATCAGTGCACGGGGGCCCAAAGTTTTACACTGTAAAAAGGTGAGCAATCAGCAATGAGTTTTGTCTTGCTGGTGAAAATGTGTTAAATGTGTGTGGTAAACTATAAAAATAGCTAGAGTCTTCCCTACTGTGCACCCACAGTGCGGCGATGTGAACCCGCAGCTTCTCCCACTCAGGAGGTGAAGCTTATTTCCCTTCCCCTGGAATCTGGGTTAGTCATTTAACTTGCTTTGGCCAATGGAACAGCAACAGACAGGATACAAGCAGAAGCTCGGAAATGACTTACACACTGGTGCTTGCTCTCTTGCTGCACTTGGAAACCTGAAACCACCATGTGAATGAACCCAAGCTAGCTTACCACTGGAGGGGAGGTCCTGTGGATGAGAGTGAGGCAGCCCAGCTGACCTGCCCACTGTCCACACATGAGTGAACCCCAGGGCACATCACCTAAACCTGGCCCCCAGCAGACGAGCCACCCACCTAAGCCCAGGCCAGGTAAAGACGGCTATATGGGAGTTTTCTGTATTATTTTTGTAACTTTTTTGTAGATTTGAATTATTTAAAAATGAAGTTAGACATTTTTACAATATATTTTCTAAGAGGTAGCCATTAGCAATATTAAAAAAGAGGATTAATATTTTTCAAAATATAAGTGAAAGAAAAGCAAAGACAAGACAGTCCATAAAGGAAAACAGAATACAAATGAAACCACAAGGAGGAATACACAATTCGAATACTTGTTTCAAAAATTGTTTTTCATCCATTTTATAGATCTCCAAAAGCAAGGCATACTTCCCTATCAACAGCTAGCCCAATTTATACCCAATTACTTCCCTAACCTTCCAGCACATCTGCCAAAACAGATGGTTACTGCAACTATAGTTAGAGTCAGAGGCAACTGACTCAGGGCCTATCACGTGCCAATTCCTGTTCAACTGTTTTTGCATGCTGTTACTTGATCTTCAAAACCATCTTGTGAGATAGTTTTTAGCCCAGTTAATAAATGAAAACACTAAGGCTCAAAAAGATTTAAAAAAAACAAAAAAACCCACTCCCCCCTATTAAACAACTAGTGAGCAGGAGAAGTAAGACAGAAACCCAGGGTGAGATTCTAAGACTCGTGCTCTCCTCATTCTGAGAGGGCTCCAGGCCCATCGGTATCAGCTTTAACCAATCTACTGCTGACTTCACAAACCCATGTGCCCCCAAGAAATCCAGTGGTGTCCTTGAAAGTTAAGACTTCCCTTCAGCTAAAAGAAAACACACTACTTGCTCAACATCGCTAATTATCAGAGAAATGCAATTCAAAACTACAGTAAGGTACCACCTCACACCGGTCAGAACGGCCGTCATTAAAAAGTCTACAAATAACAAATGCTGGAGAGGGTGTGGAGAAAAGGGAACCCTCCAACACTGTTGGTGGGAATGTAAGTTGGTGCAGCCACTATGGAAAACAGTATGGAGGGTCCTCAGAAAACTAAAAATAGAGAGAGAGTTGCCATATGATCCAGCAATCCCACTCCTGGGCATATATCTAGACAAAACTCTAATTCAGAAAGATACATGCACCCCTACATTCATAGCAGCACTACCCACAATAACCAAGACATGGAAATACCCTAAACGTCCATCAACAGATGAATGGATGAAGAAGATGTGGTACATATACACAATGGAATACTACTCAGCCATAGAAAAGAACGAAATAATGCCATTTGCAGCAACATGGATGCAACTAGAGATTACCATACTAAGTGAAGTAAGTCAGAAAGAGAAAGACAAATACCATATGATATCACCTATTTGTGGAATCTAAAATATGGCACAGGGCTTCCCAGGTGATGCAGTGGTTAAGAATCCGCCTGCCAATGCAGGGGACACAGGTTTGAGCCCTGGTCCGGGAAGATCCCACATGCCATGGAGCAACTAAGCCCGTGTGCCACAACTACTGAGCCTGTGCTCTAGAGCCCACAAGCCACAACTACTGAAGCCCGTGCGCCTAGAGCCCATGCTCCGCAACAAGAGAAGCCACCGCAATGAGAAGCCTGCACACCACAATGAAGAGTAGCACCCGCTCGCTGCAACTAGAGCAAAGCCCATGCACAGCAACGAAGACCCAATGCAGCCAAAAATAAATTAAAAAAAAAAAAGGGCACAAATGAACCTATCTATGAAACAGAAACAGGCTCACAGACAGAGAGAACAGACTTGTGGTTGCTAAGGTGGTAGTGGTGGGAGGGACGGACTGGGAGTGTGGGGTTGGCAGATGCAAACTGTTATATTGATATATAGAATGGATAAACAACAAGGTCCTACTGTATAGTGCAGGGAACTATATTCAATATCCTGGGGTAAACCATAATGGAAAAGAATATGAAAAAGAATGTATATATGTGTATAACTGAGTCACTTTGCTGTACAGCAGAAATTAATACGACATTGTAAATCAGCTATATTTCAATTAAAAAATAAATTTAAGAAAACACACTACATTCTGCAATCAGTGAACCACCTAAGGGTCTCCCCAAAGGAAAAAAGAAACACAAATACTCTTTACAGTGTATTGACCTTACTTCTGAACACCTGGTGAGACAGACTCAGACAATAAAGCTGGAGTGACAACACTGGGTCAAGTAGAGCTGTCCCTGACATTTGAGCTGGTGGAAATGTAAATCCTAAGAATAACAACCTGGTTGATGATTCTAGACTAAACACGTAAGCAAGAACTTCAAAATGTAGAGGTAACAGCCATCACTGTGCTGAAGTGTTAGGAAGACCACTTTAACCCCCTATACTTCCCATCCCTCCATCGCCCAAAGCTCACCTGTATTTGCACCTGTCCTTACCCTCCTTCCTGCCCTCTCAGAATAGAGAGTGTTTCTCTTCCCTCATAGGCTAGTTAACCTCAGTCCATGCTCTACATACTCCCTTCCCTCTCCTCCAGCAATGATTTCCCTTGTTGCTAATTTCCTTCATCATTTGCCACTGATTCCTTGCCTTCAATTTATTCTTTAAAATAACTTTCCCTTTCCCTTACCTGCCTTCCAAACCTCTCCCTTGAGTTACTCACCTCAAATATCCTTGAAAGTGTCATCTTCACCTATATTAGACCAGGTGGATATGCCTTTTCCTCCCACTAGCTCTTTATCTATTTGACCAGCATCGCTGTGCTAAAACCCCACATCTCGCTCCCCTCCTCTGCCTCCCAAAGGTACTCACTCTCAAGAATTTGGTGTGAACCCTTCTGGTCCATTTTAAAAATACTCTGTTACGTATGTATGTAATCATGAAAATACAGTATTTGGGGGGGTTTGATTTTACACATTTGGTATCACACTCTGCAATTTAATTTTTAAAAAGTCAACATTAAGTTTTTGAGCTCTCGCTGAAGTCACATGCATTTTACATAGCATTCATCCATTCTCCTCCTGATGGACGTTTAAGTTGTTTCCAATTTTCTGCTACTAAAAACAGAAGCTGCAATGAACATCCTCCTTGTACATACATGTAGACCTTCTCGGGGGGACACACCCAACAATGGAACTGCAAATTCATATGGTACTGACAATTTTACTAGATAGTTCCAGATCATTCCTTGCAATGGTCACACCAAGATCACTCCCACCAGTGGTGGATGACCATTCCTTTTCCCCCGATATCCTTGCCAACACTTGATACTGTCAGACTTTTACATTTTTGCCAACTTGGTGGTAGTAAAACAGAATTTCATCTGATTACTACTTAAGTTCAATACCATTTTAATATGATACCCTCTTTCCTCTTTGAGCTGCCTGGTGATCTATCCTTTGCCCATTTTTCTACTGGACATTTTAAAAAATAGTAGGTATTCTTTATATACCCTGGATGCTAATCCTTTCTTTATATGTTACAATTATATGTTTCTATGCATACAATTATCTTCCCTCAAACTTATATTAGTAGTCAGTATTTTACAAAAGCAATACAGGTGGTTCTCATGGGAAAACAGACTCAAGGAACATTGCTTCTCAGAAAATTTCAGAAAACTACTCTAAGTAGCATTGAAAAAAAAATGGTACATGTTATCATGCTGTACCTCCAACTGGCCTTATCTCAAAAAGAGGTTAAAAAAAAATCTCACTGTGTATTCATGTTACATTTCTTTAGTTTCTCTTCCAGTTCATGTATATCTCGGAGATCTGCTCCAATGATGGCGTATCTTGTTGAATCCAATATGTGCCCATCTGTAAATGTAAGAAGAGATTATAATTTCAACAGAAATTGATCAAGAAGAGATTATAATTTCAATGGATGTGACTTTTTCAAAACTAAAGTAAATGTATTGTTTTCTCCATTATAAAAATGCACGCTCGCGCTTCCCTGATGGCGCAGTGGTTAAGAATCTGCCTGTCAATGCAGAGCACATGGGTTCGAGCCCTGGTCCGGGAAGATCCGGACATGCCACAGAGCAACTAAGCCCGTGCTCCACAACTACTGAGCCTGCATTCTAGAGCCCGCGAGCCACAACTACTGAGCCCGTGTACCACAACTACTGAAGCCCGCACGCCTACAGCCCGTGCTCCACAACAAGAGAAGCCACCACAATGACAAACCCGTGCACCGCAACAAAGACTAGCCGCTGCTCGATGCAATTAAAGAAAGCCCTCGTGCAGCAATGAAGACCCAACGCAGCCAAAAATAAATGAATGAATGAATAAATAAATAAATAAATCTATTAAAAAAATAAAAATAAAAATCCATGCTCATTATGGGAAAAAAAATCAGGTAAGAGGGTGAAAATTAACTAAAAATCATACCTTCCAAAGGCAACTATTAGTGTTTTAGTGTATAACATTCTAACCTTTTTTCTCTGTGCTTAAACTCCTATACACAACACGGACACATCCTCCCTCTCTTCCTCTCTCTCCCTCTCTCTCTCTCCCTCTCTTTCTCTCTCTCTCTCTCTCTCTCTCTCTCTCTCTCTCTCTCTCTCTCTCCCCCCCCCTCCCTCCCTCCCTCAAACGTGCACACACACACATACGCACACACCCTGCACAAAAAAAGATAATGGGGTCACCCAATACTTGTTCTGAAAGCTTTTCCTATTTAACAATAGTATCACGGACATCATTCTCTATGATTTCACCATGCTCCACGGAATAGATAAAACAACTTACTTAGCCAATCGCTCAATATTAGACAGGCAGTATTTCCAAGTTTACTCCATCTCAGGCGAACATCCTTGTATACATGTCACAAAGGACTTGTCTGTCCAGTTACGCGGGTTATGATGAGAAGAATTAGGAGATCAAAGAGTAATAAGCCTATTTAAATATTGGTACCAATTGCTCTCTAAATGTTTTGTCAATTTGTGAGCTATTATGTTTAAAAGAAAATAGTTTATGTACTAAAGTATTTACAAATAAAATATTTCCTTTAAAATACTCCACCAGAGGTTGGATGGAATGGTATGTATAGTAGTTCTCAAGCTTTGGCAGGCATCAGATTCGCCCAGAGGGCTTGTTAAAACAGACTGATCAGGCTCCAGCCCCTGAGTTTCTGATTCAGATTTTTCAAAAGTAGAAATCTGTATTTCTAACAAGTTTCCAGATGGGGTTGATGCTGTTAGCCTGGGACTACACCTTTAGAACCACCAGTACAGATGAAATGAGACTGGCAATAAAGTTAGGCGATGGGTGCATGGAGGTTCATCAATCTAGTCACATTATTTTTGTGTAAGCCTGAAATTCTTTTCAATTTAAACTCTCTATTATTAAAAATAGATTATAATAAAAAAAGAAATTAAACTGCTTGATTATTTACCTGAAGCACTGTTCACTCAACTTCCTCAAAGTACAAACCACGGAAGAAGCTGGGACATTCTGCAGCCATCCTACATCATCGCTAAGAACTCAGGTACTCTCCCAAATAGTTCTAATTATTCTTGGATAGGGACAACTTAACATGCCGCAGCTTTTATCCAGGACATGGTTCCCAAGATGAAAACTCTCTTTGGAGTACACCTGCAGAGGAATGGGCTTTGGTCTCAAACATCCCTGACAGCAAATGTCTACTCTGCCAGTTCCTAGTCATATGACATACTGCTCACGCCTACTTTTAAGTATAAAATGCATACAATGGCAACCTCATATGGTTATGGCTAAGATGAAGGGCAATGTCAAAGTGCTGAGCTTCATGGATCCCAAACTGTACTGAGGTGCCCTGGGGCGGCACAACCAACTCACAAGGGCAGAACAGGATGTTTTAAATTTTTGAGGGAAACGCAGAGATACTCAACATGCACCAGACACAAGCAGACCATCAGCTCGAGGCAGTCACAGTTTCCACAGGAGACTTCTCTGCACTCCTTTTAATGACACCGTATCTCTGCAAAGCTGATTTCTCAGGTTTGACTGTGATGAAAAAGCCACTACTGCTCAAACATCATTTGCAATATTGCAAGAGGAACAGGTGGTAGTGTCCAATCTGGCTCCCAGGTGAGGTCATAAAGGGCCCGACAGGAGCACATATCCCATTAGAAGTAACTGTGGTTATTTAAGAATGAAATTAAGAGAGTATTTGTTCTTAGAATGTAAGTGGCTTTTTTTTCAAATGACCAAAAAGTTGTTAGGACATAAATACTTACAAATCTTGAACCCAACTCATTAATAAACAGAACTGCTGATATGTTTTTTAACCTAGAGTCATCATGAAAAATATACTGAGGCACTTAGTAAAGGAGAGTGGGCACGCACTCCTTGGCCTAACTCAATGGTGGTACATCGTGGAGGTCTTCTGTGAAGACCAGACCACAGATGATTAAATCCGGGCAGGTGCTGAGAAGCTCCACACACATGAACCCAACTCAAATTGCCAAGCTGCAGGATTGTGAGCTAAACAGACGGCTGGTTTTTTTTGTTTGTTTGTTTGTTTTTTGCAGTACGTGGGCCTCTCACTGTTGTGGCCTCTCCTGTTGCGGAGTAACAGGCTCTGGACGCGCAGGCTCAGCGGCCATGGCTCACGGGCTCAGCCGCTCCACGGTATGTGGGATCTTCCCGGACCGGGGCACGAACCCGTGTCCCCTGCATCGGCACGCGGACTCCCAACCACTGCGCCACCAGGAAAGCCCCAGACGGCTGTTATTTTAAGCCACATGCTTTGCAGTGGTTTGTTACAGAGCAAAAGCTCATATAGGCTTTAATTATCTGCCTCATTCAGCTCACACCTATGAAAGGCAGGAGAAAGTGGAAGATTTACACAATGTAACATGGTAGTTACACACACACACACACACACACAATCCACAGGGCATACAGGTCATGATCTCTTCCATCACCTCCAAGTCAGCATTTCAAGAGAGACGTGTTCCTATGTGCTACTGACCTGTAGTGAGTCCCATCAATCCCATTCATTATATGTCTTCAAAGACAGACTTATTATTAGGATTACAAAGTGATCTTTTAGGTCCCCAGATTTTCCTAGAACATTCTAGTTTAAAAATAAAAAAGCTGGGCTTGACATGTACACACTGCTATATTTAAAAAGGATAACCAACGGGGACCTACTGTATAGCACAGGGAACTCGGCTCAATGTTACGTGGCAGCCTGGATGGGAGGGGAGTCTGGGGGAGAATGGATGCATGTGTATGTATGGCTGAGTCGCTTTGCTGTGCACCTGAAACCATCACAACGTTGTTAATCGGCTATACTCCAATATAAAATAAAAAGTTTAAAAAATTAAAATTAAAATAAAAAGCGTTGTAAAACAGCCTCAGGTGGATTTCTGGACCACACAGGAGTTTTGCTTGTTTGTCTGTCCATCTGTCCACCCAGGAATACTTACTGAGCTCTCATTATGTCCTCGGCACTGAGTCCTGGGAAGAAACTGATGAACAAAAAGGCACGGTCCTGCCCCCATGGGGCCTGCAATCCAGCAGGGAAGATGAAGAGTGGACAAGTGTGGGGAACACTACAAAGGGGGGGTGCAGCCTTTTGGGAGTGCATAACAGGGTCCCACCTCCCTTAGAAGAGAGTCCACACTACTTGGCCTGGCCGAGGAGATCCTGCATGATGCAGCCCCGCCTTCTTCAGCTTCATCTTGAGCCATGCACCCCTCCCCACTGCCAGCTCCAGTCACACTGGCCTTTCGGCTTCCTCACATGCTCCTCCTTTCCCTAAGCTTGCCTTGTGCGAGACAATCTTCCCCCTAGAGGGTTTCTCCTTCTTGCGGCTCAGCTGAGATACCTGACACCACTCTGCAATGCTTTGATTTGTTGCTCTTTTTACTTTATACTCAACCAGTACCACATCGGAGTTGAGATGGATTACAAAGACACAAACACTCACTCATTCAAGCATTCAGGTATGTATTTATTCCATCAATAATCTCTGTGTGCCAGGCACTGTTCTAGGTGCTGGGGATATAGCAATGAACAAGATAGGAGAGGTCCCTGTGCTCTTGAGGCTTATTCCCTCAAGGAGGGAGAGACGGTGAATCATTAAACAAATGAAGAATCAAGATAGCATCAGAGTATTAAGAGCTATGAAGAAAATAAAAGAGGATGAGGGAAAACCGTGCCTAGAGTAGGAGGTGGCAGCTGAAGTGGGACATGGGTGATGAGATGGAGCCCATTAAGCAAAATTAGGGGGAAAGAGTTCCAGGTCAAGGGAAGAGGAAAGGTTTGAAGGTGAGAGCAAGCTTGGCACATTCAGAGGACAGCAGGAGGGCAGTGTAGTGAGATCATATTACTGTAGTCGAAAATAAAATCGGGGGACTTCCCTGGTGGTGCAGTGATTAAGAATCTGCCTTCCAACGCAGGGGACACAGGTTTGATCCCTGGTCGGGGAATTAAAATCCCACATGCTGCGGGGCAACTAATCCTGTGTGCTCTAGAGCCTGCACCACAGCTAGAGAGCCTGCGTGCCACAACTAGACACCCACGCACTCTGGAGCCCGCACCACAACTAGAGAGAAGCCTGCGCACCGCAACGAAGAGCCCACGCACCACAATTAAAGATCCCGCATGCCGCAACTAAGACCCAATGCAGCCAAATAAATAATAAATAAAAATAAATATTAATTAAAAAAGGAAAGAAAATCAGGAGGCATCCAGACACCCAATTAACCATGTAAATTTCAGCACTAGAAGGATTTAAGCAGGAAAGTAAAGAATCTGACTTACTTTTAAGAACTCATCTTGACTTACTTTTCGTTGTGTGCTCATTTACATACTTTTAATTTCTTACCCTGTGCATAGTTCAGCTTAAGAAAACATCTATCATCAATTCTAAGATGCATATATTTTTCACATTTTAACATTTCTGAAATCTGGATGCATCTAACAGTCGATAATGTATCAGTTTAATTTGTCAGCACTTTTTCTCTCCTATTGATAAATAAATAGTGGTGATTCTTACAGCCCCAGGGGTTTGATGAAAAAGGGTAATTTTTAAATGAAATTTTTGTCAGTTTTATTATCATCTATCACTTTTCTCAGATTTTCATTCACGTTTTTATTTATTTTTATTCAGATTCCTTTCTCAGTACGATGGCAAGATCAAAAACTATTGATATAAAGGACAAGACTGGTAAATTTACCCACATAACACACAAACACAGATTTAAAAAAACAAGCAAAAGACTAAGAAAAAAATATACAATAAAAAAAGCTGACAAGAGACTTCCCTGGTGGCACAGTGGATAAGACTCCACGCTCCCAATGCAGGCGGCCCAGGTTCGATCCCTGGTCGGGGAACTAGATCCCACATGCATGCCGCAACTAAGAGTTCGCATGCCACAACTAAGGAGCCCACAAGCCACAACTAAGGAGCCTGCCTGCCGCAATTAAGGAGGCCTGGAGCTGCAACTAAGGAGCCCAGGTGCTGCAACTGAGGACCCGGTGAGCCGCAACTAAGGAGTCTGTGAGCTGCAACTAAGGGAGCCCGCCTGCTGCAACTAAGACCCAGTGCAACCAAATAAATATAAATATACAAATAAATACTTTTTAAAAAAAAGTTGACAAGAGGTTTTTATCAAAGAACATATCTGTATGTTATAAAGGGTTCCTATAAATTGGAAAAAAAAGGCTGGGGGGAAACAATGCAACTGAAGAAAAAAATGGGCAAAGGAAATGAAAAGGCAATTTACAAAGAAATTCCTAAAGGCCAATAAAACTATAGAAAGATACTCCATCTCGCTGGACTCTAAGCATTCAAAGTTATATAAAATTTTAAAACAATGGGACATTGTTACAGCCCATCAGACTGGTAGAAATTTTTAAAAATGATAATATCCAGCGTTAGTGGCGGTGTAGAGAAAGAGAATCCTCATCTACTCTTAATGAAAACATAAATTAATAAAATGTTCTTGAAGATCAGTTTGGTAGTAGCTATTCAAATTCACAATGTACAATTCTTTGAGCTAGCAACTCCTGCAAAGACACACATATATATGTGTTCTCTACAACACTGTTGAATATAAAAATATAAAAAGGCAGCAATCTAAATGACCATCAGTAGGGAAAAGATTAAATAAAACAGAATTTCCATGCAGAGGAGTACTGTAAAGCCATTAGAAATAATGAGGTAGATTTATATATTCTGACATGAAAAGACAGCCATGATTTACTAGGACATGAAAAGAGCAAGTCACAAAACAGTATGTATAAATTATTTATTTTATTAAAATTACATATAAACCTATATTTATATATAGAAGTATAGATCCATTCGTTCAACAAATATATGTTACACTACAACACATATTTATTCAATGTGTATATACATTCATTCAACAAAAAATTATTGAGCCTTTTATGTGCCACGCACTGGATTATATCTGTGTGTGTACTTTATTATGTGTGATATTTACCTTTCTCTGGGTATACTGTTCATCTGCAGTAGAAAATACTCTGAACACTGGTTATCTTGGGTGGGAGGAGGGATTATGGAAAGTCTTTACTTTCTACTTCATATATTTCTACATTGATGGATCAGAGTCCTAGCAAAGTACTAGCACATTCATTGCAGATAATCATTCTGACACCAAATACATAGAAAATTACGGTAGCAAAACTGTACAGAAAGCAAATAGGCCAGCAAATGGCAAAGCCTGAACAGCTTCTGCTTACAACTTGTATAAGGGAAACAAAGGATGGGGGAGATATCATTTCCTGTGGAAACTTTATTGGGAATCTGATCACTAGAAGGATGACTAAAGCACTGTGGTTGTGTTAAAAGAGGAAGCGTATCTAATCGTCTGATGTTTGCAGTGCTATCTGTGTCGACCATCCGAGAAGGCCATCCTCTCTAAGCATGTTTTCTGACCCAAATTATTAATAAGGCCCTGGAACCTCTCTGTCAAATAGAGACTGAAAACAATGGAAGATTCTGCAAGAGTTTTACCATAATTCGAAAGGCTTAGAAATGAGGAAAGTGGTGTTGTAAACATTCATAATTAAAACTTGAGGGGAAAAACTGACTGCAGGGGCCAAGGAGGTGACATAAACCAGGAAGCAGGTCAGGTGTAAGACAAGAGGGAGTGGTGGGGTCAGAACTGGAGAAGACATGACCCTTCTAAATAAAGCGGCCGCTGCTCAATGACTGCCATGTAGGAGCTAGATGTGATTTTTCCAAGCAAAACTGAAAATCAAGACTTTCATGAAAAATCTCCCATTTTTGAAATGTTCACAACTAATTTAAATTCTTTTTAAAGAGTGGGGACCTATGGACATCTAAGAAGAGTCACATCAAAACTGTTCTAAATTCCTTCATAGTAACTGCGGTGGAAGTGAAAATGTATCAGCAGAAGGATACATGTATTCATGCGCACGCGCGCACACACACACGCACACACACCATCTTTAAAAATAAAAGGGGAAAAAGAGCAAAAATTGTTATATAGCCCAGGTTGCATTACTTAGGTTAAGGATACTTACCCATTTGAAGTGTGTCCTCTGAATGTAAGTCTAAAATGGGTTTTGATAGGAGAGGTTTCAATCTGTAGAAGATGAGAGAAAGAAAGGCGAGTCAAGCAGCTCATTTACTGCTAAAATGCAGACAGCCACTACAGACATGGCAAATAGGTATCACTACTATTCAGAGGAAGGGCCACGCCAAAGGGTCATCTGTTTAATCACATTTGACCCTAGGCACGTACAGTAAAAGTCCAGGGGATACAAGTCAGTTAGGTCAGCTAAGCTTTACATGGAGAATCTGATACCAAATCACAAACTGATCATGACATACGTACTTAGAAACAGCTACAGACAGGCTAGCAAGAATTTTCCAAATGTTCCAGTGTTTTTAGTAACATTTACGTGATAACTCTCCCAATCAAAGATATGCAAGAAAACAGGGAATTCCCTGGTGGTCCAGTGGTTAGGACTCTGTGCTTCCAATGCAGGGAACGCAGGTTCGATCCCTGGTCAGGGAACTAAGATCCCATAGGCCGAGCCCAAAATAACTGATTAACTTCAGCCTCCCATTCATTCATTCAAATAATATTTACTACACATCTATTCTGGGCCAGACACCTTTCTATACCCTGACATAAGTAAGCAAAATACACATAGAAATACAGATTAATACACAACATTGTTAATCAACTACAATCCAATATAAATTTTTTTAAATTCTGATTATTAATCTACTCTAGGTCATTTTTTTAAATGTTCAGAGAAATTACATGAACGGATAGAAGAGTCACAAAGGAGGGTGTATTTCATGTTGAAGACTGCACGATATGTTGGAATGAGTGTCCCGGGGGCAAGAAAGAGGGAGGAGGGGATGAAAGGAAAGCAGTGTCCTAAAGTGAGGTCTCCTGCCTCAGACCTGCCGCCTACCAGGATCTGGTTCTGAATCTCACCATGCTCTTGCTTGCGGCCAAAGCCACACTTACTTGATGCTGTGCAGCTTTCTCGTGACTATCATTGGAAAGTCGATTTCAAAATATTTACTTGGTAGAAGATCTTCATCCTGAGAAAAAACACACAGTAATCTTTCTATAATTATTTATTACTCATACATTTACCCATCATCTTCATGTACCAAGTGTTAGGGCCTGAAGAGCAATGGGATACTTACGGATTTAAAATCAGGGGAATGATATGGTAAGAAATGTACTTTTCAAGTTATTTGGTCTCGGCATAAAGAACAAATGGAGGGAAAAAGGAGATTATTGTAGCTGTCCAGGAGCCAAGTGATGGGGAGCCTGAATCAGGGGAATGGTCACTGGGATGTTAAGAGGTAGACCGGAAGCAAGACATAAGAGTATTTCTCAAAAAAGCAGCTTGATATGCTCCGCAACAAGAGAAGCCACCGCAATGAGAGGCCCGCGCACCGCTACGAAGAGTAGCCCCGCCCCGCCACAACTAGAGAAAGCCCGCGCACAGCAACAAAGACCCAATGCGGCCAAAAATTCATTCATTCATTCATTTTTTTAAAAAAAGCAGCTTGGGACCTATTAGGGAGGGTCAAGAAACCAATGTGGTGGGTTGTGACCAGCAGTCTGGGGATGAAATAGAATAAAGTAGCAAACGTCAGAAAGCATCATGTGGAATGAGGGATACATTTATTGTTTTCTGTGATAGTGGAGAATAGTGGGGTGGTAAACAGCAGGCACTCTGGAGCCTGGAGGGACAAGGGTCAAATCCCAGCTCCACCACTTGTTTGCTGTGAGGCCTTGGGCAAGTCACTAAACTCCCTGGGCCAAGGTTTCCTCATCTGAAAAGTAGAGAAAATAACACCTCATAGGGTTGTGGGGATTAATGAGGAAATACGTGAGTGACACTCAGAACAGGGCCCCGCCCTTAGTAAGTACCATGTGTGTGCCCTTATTATTTACAGACATAGGCACATAGACGTGGGTCCTGGCTAGGGATGTACAGTTATTTTTTTACTGTGGCTGCAGTTTTAAAAAGTGTGAAACACACACACACAGCCCTGCTTCCCCCTTGCGCTTTTTTTTTTTTTGCGGTACGCGGGCCTCTCACTGTTGTGGCCTCTCCTGTTGCGGAGCACAGGCTCCGGACGTGCAGACTCAGCAGCCATGGCTCACGGGCCCAGTCGCTCTGCGGCATGTGGGATCTTCCCAGACCAGGGCACGAACCCGCGTCCCCTGCATCAGCAGGCGGACCCTCAACCCCTGCGCCACCAGGGAAGCCCCCCTTCGCGCTTTTCCTAGCTTAGTCGGTGGCTACACCCCCATCCAGTCACCTACTGGTCATGCTAGAATTCTCCAGCTCCTCCTCCCTGTCCAATCAATCCCTCAGCCTGAATGTACACAAATGTCAGATCACTATGTAATACATACTATGCAACTAACATAGTACTATATGTCAAATCATATGGTATCGCTTGTATGTGGAATCTAAAAACAATGATGCAAATGAGCTTATGTACAAAACAGAAATAGACCCACAGACAGAGAAAACAAACTTATGGTTACCCAAGGGGAAAGGGGGGAGGGATAAATTAGAGGAGTTTGGGATTAACATACACACTACTATATATAAAACAGATAACCAACAAGGACCTACTGTATAGCACAGGGAATTCTACTCAATATTTTGTAATAACCTATAAGGGAAAAGGACCTGGAAAAGAATAGGTATCTATATGTATGTCTGTATCTCTTTCTATATGTATAACTGAATCACTTTGCTGTACCTGAAACTAACACAACATTGTAAATCAACTATACTTCAATTAAAAAAAATTATGTCAAGGATTGATATATTTCAATTAAAAAAAAATCACTCAGCCCTGCTGACTGTTCTCAAATGCATCCTCTCCTCCTCAGCTCTATTATCACCAGCTGTGAAGACTCAAACAACACCCCTTTCTGCCTGCAACAGCTCTTCACACCCCTACGACTTAGCAAGAAACAAGGCGCTCCATAACCTGCTACTCTTTTAATGCCCTCATGCCCACCTGCACTTATATCCCAGAAATAGAGAGCTACTTATTTAAAAAAAAAAAAATTTAAAAAGAGGAAAGAAAAAGGAAGTTGCTGATATCCAGAACCTGGTGGTGGCTTCTTTGGTGTAGGATGGGATAAAGAAAAAGGAGGGGTAAGGATGTTTCCTTGTTTCTGATGAGCAGACTGGCAGGTAAGAGCACCATTTACACAGACAATAACTAGAGATGAAGGACAGGTCGGGAGAGGCAGCAGATCCCGCCCCCCCCAGGACAGAATGATGGGGGCAGAAATCATGAGGAAGCAGTTCCTGGTAGGAAGGTGACCCCTAAGGGCAAGTAACAGAATTGGGAGATCCACCCACATGGAAAATGGTCCTCAGTTAAATTTTCAGGGGATCTGGCCTGGGGGAAGGAGCGGAAGGACAGAGAAGGAAGGAGGAAGAGAAAAAGAAAGAAACGTTTTGTTTCTTTTACGGTTTCTTGACATCAGAGGAGACCTGGACTCACCACCTTCAGCTGTTCACTCTTGGAATTGCACCACATACCTACTACCTGACTGCAGAGCAGGGCTATGTAAAAGCTATCTGAAGATATTGAGAGGATGTGTTTAAAGGATACACAGAAATAACTTTCTCTAAGAAATTCTACAACAACTTTCAAGAACTTTTACTCACAAGGTATAGAGTGTTAAGAACAGTCTAAAATTCCAGAAGACCACAAGGACAATCAAAAGCAAATAAATGAAGGAAGCATAGTGTCCCACATCTCACACAGGACTTCTGACTTTTTTTTTAACATCTTTATTGGAGTATAATTGCTTTACAATGGTGTGTTAGTTTCTGCATCATAACAAAGTGAATCAGCTATACATATACATATATCCCCATATCTCCTCCCTCTTGCGTCTCCCTCCCACGCTCCCTATCCCACCGCTCTAGGGGGACACAAAGCATCAAGCTGATCTCCCTGTGCTATGCAGCTGCTTCCCACTAGCTAGCTATTTTACATTTGGTAGTGTATATATGTCCATCCCACTCTCTCACTTCATCCCAGCTTACCCTTCCCTCTCCCCGTGTCCTCAAGTCCATTCTCTACATCTGTCTTTATCCCTGTCCTGCCCCTAGGTTCTTCAGAACCATTTTTTTTTTATTCCATATATATGTGTTAGCATACGATATCTGTTTTTCTCTTTCTGACTTACTTTACTCTAAGACAGACTCTAGGTCCATCCACCTCACTACAAATAACTCAATTTCGTTTCTTTTTATGGCTGAGTAATATTCCATTGTATATATGTGCCACATCTTCTTTACCCATTCATCTGTCGATGGACACTTAGGTTGCTTCCATGTCTGGGCTACTGTAGATACAGCTGCAGTGAACATTGTGGTACATGACTCTTTTTGAATTATGGTTTTCTCAGGGTAGATGCCCAGGACTTCTGACCTTTTAAAGAGCTTTCCCAGGCACTCGTGCACTTGATCCTCATAAGAATTCTGAATAAGGGGTAACCGAGGAAGGAAAGCTTACAAAAGGCACACCTGGAACTTTTAAGAAACAGACATCCTCTTTCTCAGCTTTCAGAAACGGGCAAGATGGCTCTGGCAAGTGATGCTTCAACTTCTTATTCCACGATTCTCTGCGGCCCTCTGACACTCCACTCCCAAGTAGCTCGCGTGGCACAGGAGGCAGGGGAGATACCCAAGGCAGGGCACAGCCACCAGGAGGAAGCCAGGAACAGCCACGAGGAAGGGTGGCCCTCAGACTCCAAGATCCAAGGTAGTCGACCACTTCACAGGCGGCCAAAACTGAGACTGCTTCCCCTCCATACCCGACCCTTTGGTTGTACAGAAACAGAATTCAAGAGACACCAAGAAGTGAGGCCCCTTAAAGGGTTTCACTCACCCTTTATTCTTTGCTCATAATGATACCAGCTTTCCCTGGCCCTGTTTTTGCTTGCTGCCTGAAGATGAGTCTTCGACTGTCCAGTCTTGGGCCCCTGAGATTATACAGAACAAGCTCACACGGTAGTGGCCCCAGAAAGCCTGTGACTCGCAACTAAGCCTCTGCTGGTGCAGCAGGGGGGCCATCCCAGGTGGAAAGAGCACGAGACTATAAGATCGATGGACACGACTTCCCCTGCTCTTTTATAGAGGCACATATAGCTCTAAAACGGGGATTAACAAACTTTCTGGAAAGAGTCAAAAAGTAAGCATTTTAGGCTTTGCAGGCCATAATGGTCTCTGTTGTAACTACTCAGCCCTGCTATGAGAGCCATAGATAAGATGTAAATAAATGGGCATGGCTGTGTTCCAATAAAACTTTATTTACAAAAATAGGTGGTTGGCCAGATTTGGCCTGTGCAACCTCAGCTCTAAAAGAGCCAACAAGGGAATTCCCTGGTGGTCCAGTGGTTAGGACTCTGCCCGTCCACTGCAGGGGGACGGGGTCTGATCCCTGGTCAGGGAACTAAGATCCCGCAAGTACGCAAGCAGCCAAAAAATAATAAAAAATAAAAATTAAAGGCAAACATCAAATCGGGGGGAAAACTCACAACAAAATGGAAAAGACAAAAAATAATAATAAAAGAGCAGACAAGGGTTTCCCTGGTGGTACAGTGGTTAAGAGTCTGCCTGCCGATGCAGAGGACACGGGTTCGTGCCCCGGTCCGGGAAGATCCCACATGCCGCGGAGCGGCTGGGCCCGTGAGCCGTGGCCGCTGAGCCTGCGCGTCTGGAGCCTGTGCTCCGCAACGGGAGAGGCCACAACAGCGAGAGGCCCGCATATTGCAAAAAAAAAAAAAAAAAAAGAGCAAACAAGCATAATTTAAAAAAAAGAGAAACTTTAGATTTTTAAAAATCCCTTTGGATCAATACAATTATCAATAAAACAAAAAACTTCCACAAAGGACTTTAAGGCCCTGTGTTACTCCCCTTCCTCACCTTTGACAGAGAACCTTTTTCTTGGAAGGGGCACATAAGACTCGGTGTACCTGGCTCAGAAATTAAAATCTCAGATTTATTCATTATTAACCCACCTACAAGATGGGGAAAAAAACCAAACCATATGACCAAGTCAAAAGGGTAAAAAGGAGGGATTTCTCCAGCGGCCCCTGTAATGCTGGCAGTGCACACACTCTTACACTACATTCTGTTCCAGTTGCTTCCACCACACCAGGGTCACGGCATTACAGAGGCACAATCGACCCACAGAAAAGACTCTCCCTGAACAACCACAGAGCTGTGTGCAGAGGAAAGAGGAAGGAATTGGGAGTCTGAAGAGCTGGAGCCAATGTTGGTTCCACATCCTAATGCCACTGGTTGTCCAATTTGGGGGAAGACACAGACTTTCAAAGCCCCACTTCCCTCAGATGTGTAAGCTCCCCCACCCAACACAGCTCTTGTGTTAACTAATGACGTCATATACGTAAACGCACTTCATAAATGTCAGTTATCTCATCTAGAAGGAAGAATGCAGAGGCAAACGATACTAGGGCCATGTTGAGGACACTGATTCTCAAGTAACAGGAAGACTGGGAGCTCTGATGACCAAAGACCTTCTTATCAGGTGAGCTAATTAGGGACAAAATAGATAATGCAGGTCGAGTTATGCTTATATACTCTCATCTATCTTGGTCTACGCCTGCAAGAAATCTGGAGAGGGGCTTCCCTGGTGGCAGAGTGGTTAAGAATCTGCCTGCCAATGCAGGGGACACGGGTTCGAGCCCTGGTCCGGGAAGATCCCACGTGCCGCAGAGCAACTAAGCCCGTGCGCCACAACTACTAAGCCTGCGCTCTAGAGCCTGCAAGCCACAACTACTGAGCCTGAGTGCCACAATTACTGAAGCCCGCACACCTAGAGCCCGTGCTCCGCAACAGGAGGAGACACTGCAATGAGAAACCCACGCACTGCAAGGAAGAGAAGCCCCTGCTCACCACAACTAGAGATAGCCCGCATGCAGCAATGAAGACCCAACTCAGCCAAAAACAAATTAATTAATTATTTTTTAAAAAGAAATCTGGAGAGACGCACATACCCATTACTACCACGTGACTGACCTGATAGAAGAACCAAGAAAAATCTGTACAAACCTACAAAAATAAGAAAAAGAAAGAAACTGCAATCAGTGAGATATTTGTAGGGAAAAGGTTTGGCAATAAAATCCAGCCCAGGAATCAAAGACCAGAACTTTAGTCCTGGTTCTGTCACTGACTAGACCCAAGTTTCCTTTCCTATGAGTGAGTATAATTACACCTGCCCTTGAACCCAAATAGAACAATTGAGGCATCAAATCAGAGAATGACTACAAAAGGGCTTTGCATCATGTTATCATTACCCAGCCTTGCAAATCTCCAAATGTTACCTAAGACACTGCGATGCCGACAATAAAATCTTAAGTTATCGTCAAAATTACAAACGCGAGTGTTCTTTTGTCTCAGCAGTTCCACGGGTAGAATCCTTGCTCCTTCTCCTGGTATACTGCCACATATGCAGGGGAAATGTACCCAAGAATGTTTACTATAACCCAGTTAGTAGCAGCAAAAGGTGAGAAACCACCCACATATCCTCACTAGGGCTCTGGTGAGATGAAGTACAGGGATGAAGGCAGTTGTGGGGCTGGAGGGCTGCAAAGCGAGGTGGGAGACAGGCTGCCACCGCACTGCATTTTAATCTTTCCTTTACGCTTTTGAACCAGGTGAATGTCTTCAACAAATTAAATTTAAACAACTGGAAAGAGAAAACGGGAAATTTTAATTTACCTTTAACCTCCAGAAGGTGGTATCCATCCCAGCCCCAAGGTTTAGAATTTGACAATTACATTCTGTCTTCCGTAGAAATGCCTTTATAAGCTGGCTGACGCCATGGACTCGAGCAAAATATCCTAAGAGACAGACAGAGAAGCAAGCTATCACTCGGTGACGACAGAAATAATCCCTGCAAAGCCCACGGTGCTAGGGAGAGCAAAACTACACTTTGCCCTTCTTCAGGGTCAGCGTTTATCTGCAAACTTCATGGGAGAAGTAATGACTTTCAAACTCTCTTCCATTTTTTTTTTTTTTTAAAAAAAGCTGGTTGAACAAAAATAAGTACTAGCTACTTAATGGTGGAATTAACGATCTGAAGAAAAATAGTGTCCTATACTTTTACTTAGGAAAGACAAGTGTTTTATATCAAAACATCTGATCTAAATGCTTCTCTTGTAAATGTGCTTTTTCACGGCTCTAGGGAAAGCTAATTAGTACTCTGGTAAAACTCAAAATTGCAAGAGCGTGTGGGAAATAATATTTGTAGGTCAGGAAATTGGGCAGATGAATGTCAGTCAAAGCAAAGAAAGCCATGCTTCTTATCTTGTTCCTTTCACCTCCATCTTGTCTGGGTTAGAGCCTCTGTGTTTATAAAATGGCATCGCAGACAGCGGGAGGAGAGACACCAGCAAGTGGTGGCCTAATTAATGGACTTGTTAAGCTCTGGGGTGGGGAGCTGGGACAAAGGAGATGGGAAACCCAGAAGGGAGACAGGAAGACAGCGTCTGTCTTGTTCTAAAGGCCTGTTGCTCAAGGTGTGACCATTTTTTTTTTTTTTTGGCAGTACGTGGGCCTCTCACTGCTGTGGCCTCTCCCGTTGCGGAGCACAGGCTCTGGACGCGCAGGCTCAGCGGCCATGGCTCACGGGCCCGGCCGCTCCGCGGCATGTGGGATCCTCCCGGACCGGGGCACGAACCCGCGTCCCCTGCATCGGCAGGCGGACTCTCAACCACTGTGCCACCAGGGAAGCCTGAGGTGTGACCGTTTTAAGAACAAAATTTGAGAGTAGCATTTATTGCCATTTGACAGAGAAATTTTATGTCTGGTGAGTGTGCTAATAAATAATTCGGGGAAATTCCCTAGCAGGTCGGTGGTTAGGACTCTGTGATTCCACTGCAAGGGTGCACGGATTCAATCCCTGGTCGGGAACCTAAGGTCTCACATGCTATGCAGCATCGCCAAAAAAAATAAATTAATAAAATAAAATAATCAATTTGATAATCCCTACCTTGTAAGTAAATAAATAATTTGGGCTCGTGTCTACATTTCATTTTCCTAGTAAATCATCTTTATTGTATATTACAGAATATCATCCACAATGGATTCGACTTGGGAGAAAAAAATATGTCTTCACCAAAGATGTTTGGGAAGCGCTCTCCTACTGGGCTGGAGGTCCCCAATCTGCAAACCGGGAGAGGAAGAAGGAAGGGGGGCTGACATGCCGCCTGGGGCACCGAGCCATGGTGGGTCCCTGTCTCTGGAACATTCGTTGGGAAATCTGTCTCAAGAGCTGGGGAGGGAGGCTTAAGAAAGGCCTCTTAACCAGGCCTTGCCCAATCTAACTGATGCCTGGATTCACCCTCAGCTCAAAGTAACTACCGTGTCCTTCTTCTCAGGAACAACCATTTACAAATTCCTTTGCCCTTCTTATAGAACCCACCTACGTGACCCATCTTTAGGGCCTAGATCCCCCACACATACAAGAATTACGTTCACTGGTCAGTTTCTCAATCTGGCTGAAACTAAGTCACCCTCCTATCTCAACTCCTTCGACTTCCTTGATGGAAATTACTTGCAGAACCTAATAGTGTTACTAACACTTTAATAGGGCAACAACAACAAAAATAATCCCTTATGTGAACAGACAGCTCACAGTAAAAGATATATAAATGGCTTTTATAGTAAAAGATATGTGAATGGCTTTTATATTACTGTAAAAACCATTTTTCATGTATCAGGTGAACAAAGATGAAAAGTTTCATAATACACTGTGCTGGTGAGGAAGTTGGGAAATGAGCACTTTCATACACTGTTGAAGACAGTACACCCCGGAACTCTCTTTTTAAGAATGAATCCCTAAAACCTCAGGCCTCTCAGCTGATGAGACGTTGGGGAGGGAGATGGTCACTTGCCTCTGTTAATTTCCGGGGCCTTCCTCTCTTTAGACAGTCTCACCAAATGCTGGATGTAAGGGTCCTGCCAGTAGCCAACGCTCACTGCAAACCTGAAAGAGATGAAAAAGGAAGCAGGTGAGTAGAGAGTAGGTTCAGGCCAGGTTCCACGGCCACGTTCCCAGGAACCAGGTCAAGGATCCACAAGAAATTTATTGACCTCAAAAGGCTAAATCATGCAACTAGAGATCATCATACTAAGTGAAGTAAGTCAGAAAGAGAAAGACAAATACCACATGATATCACTTGTATGTGGAATCTAAAAATATGATACAAATGAACCTATCTATGAAACAGAAACAGACTCATGGACGTAGAGAACAGACTGGTGGTTGCCAAGGGGGAGAGGGTTGGGGGAGGGCTGGAGTGGGAAGTTGGGGTTAGTAGATGTAAGCTATTATATACAGAATGGATAAACAACAAGGTCCTGCTGTAGAGCACAGGGGACTATATTCCATATCCTGTGATAAACCATAATGGAAAAGAATATTTTTTTAAAAAAGAATGTATATATATGTATAACTGAATCACTTTGCTGTACAGCAGTAATTAACACAACATTATAAATCAACCATACTTCAATTTTAAAAAGGCCAAATCACATTTAATGCTCCAGCACAAGCTTAAACAGACTCACTCATCCATCCACCTCTGCATTCACATACACTGCCCATCACATTTCCCACCACAACCATTTCTTACCTCTTCCCCCTTATCACTAATTCCTTTCCCAGGACCCTAAACAGCAAATGATCTCACCTCATACTTCATACAGAAGACCTGTAACCAATTATTCATTCAGCAAACTCACTGGCCAGAGCTAGTCAGATAACTCGGCTCAACCAAAAGTTTTGTGTCCAGGGGAAGGGAGACCCAGAAATATTTGGCAAATGTCACTAACAACTACCAAAGTATTTCTCCTGACTTTGTATTAAATACCTGTCCTTTCATGTCCCTTAAGGAGGTCACAGTGGGGAAACTAGGAACAAATAAAACAGCTATAACTTGGAAAATGCTAGGGTAGCTCAAACTCTAACCCAGTCTACACTACAAGCAGTTAAAGTTGTAGTGTTCCAAGCCTAGGAGCTGAAGCCCTGATTACCACTGGAAGTCCGCTGGCAACCATGAGTGGAACCAGCCTTAGGACAAATGAGAAGTCAGGGAAGGAAGCTGGATCCCTAAGGCCACGCCACACCCCTGTGGGCCTGGAGCCTTCTCTACCTAGCAACGAATACTTAGTGAGATAAGAAACATCTTTACCACTTAAGTCAAATTGAGTCAGGCTTCTGTTACTTGCAGTCTTAAGCATCCTAAGTGATATCCTGAATAATACATCCATTTCCATGTTGCTTGATAAATAAACTGAAACTTAAGGTGGCTGGGGGTGTGTGTGTGGGTGTGTGTGTGTGTGTGTGTGTGTGTGTGTGTGTGTGGTGTCACCCAGCTAAGTTCTAAGCTCCCAGAGCACATATTACATCTTTCCTTTTCTTCATATCTACCAACAAGGCTTACTGCTGCCTTGACAGCAATAGGTGCTGAATTCTGCACAAACATGCCTCCTCCAGTCTCTCGCATCCACGTCTGCACATCCATAGACACCCACAACAAAGCACATATGTTCAACTACTCAAGGCAGCAACTCAACAAAGAAACACACAAAGTACTAAGGAACACAATTTGCTATAAGCCCAGACTGTCCAAGGAAAACAGCAGACCCACAGAGTTTTACAAACAAACTTGCCCAGTTTTCTAAAATAGTGCTTTCCAGGAATTCCCCAGCGGTCCAGTGGTTAGGACTCTGCGCTTTCACTGCTGAGGGCGAGGGTTCAATGCCTGGTCGGGGAACTAAGATCCCGCAAGCCACACAGCACGGCCAATAAAATAAAATAAAAGAGTGCTTTTCAAACAATGAGTTGTGACCCATTCATATCATAAAATCGATGTAATACTTTGCAAATCTCCCTTTTAGAAAATGAAGTAGAACAGAGTAAAACAGAAAATAGCAGCATCATTCCACATTGTAAGAGTGTTTTGTGAAGCTTTTGTTTCAAGTGTGTGTTGGGGGTATAAGTGCCGTGAAAAATGTGTTCTCACTGTGGGTGGCAGTTTGAGGAACGCTGATTTCAAAGGAGTCATCTCGCGCCATCTAGTGGTAAAAGCCATATCTGCAGTTGAAGCAAGAACGGTAGACCAGTGATGAGAACACGCCTCGAACAATTTAGAGCTTGGAAGGGACCTTAGTCAAGCCCAACATCCAGAGCAAGAATCCTTTCGACAACATAGAGCCACTGTTGACTACTGCCCACAGAGAAGGCACTCACCCCACTGCGAAGAAACTCGAACTGCTGAAAAGCTCATCAATTTGCCCCCCTCTAAGTGTTCCTTGTTGGATTTATTAGTGCCCTCTCGGAAAACAAGGAGCAGTTTCTATTCCTCCCAACTCTGCATTATCAGTTGAGTTAATATTATTGATTTGGTCTGGCAATATTTATTGAGTGTCTGCTAAGTGCCAGGCATAGGGTTACAGTGGTGAACAAAATAGAGAAGGGACAAAGACAGAGATTATGACAAACGAGGGATATAATGGTATGGCGGATGGAGGACCTACTTCAGAGGTGAAAGGGAAGACCTCTCTTAAAGGGCATGGCTGAGTCGAGTCCTAGAGAATTAGGGAAAGGCAGCTGTGCAAAAGGCATTCCAGGTAAGAGGAACAGCAGATACAAACACTCGGGGGTGGGAGTGCACGTGGAGTGTTCTAGTAGCAGGAAGTAGGCAGGGCAGCTGGAGAAGAGTAAGAAAACAGGAGAAACTGGAGAAGACATTGGAGAGAGAAGCAGACTCAGGTCACACAGGGCCTGGCAGGAGCATGGGATGGATCTCCACAACACACTGGACGTGGTCAGTGATGTGCAGCAGTACAGAAAGGTGGGGAGATGCCTGCACATAACACAAGGACCCCCGATCATCTGGGGAGATGCCTGGACATAACACAAGGACCCCTGATCACTAGTACCTATGACTCCTACTTCCTAATTTTTCCAACATGTGTCTCTTTGCAGTCCTCAAATCTAGATGACTGCCAGTGGTTTCCATGCCTCCGAGGAAAAAGGCTCACTGCTTTGCCTGTGAGAGTGGCCAAGATAAAAAGATGTACAACGCACTGCTGCGAAGAAGGAAGAGGGTGCTGCTGGGCATTGCTGCTGGGAGCTCTGAAGGGAGGCGGGCACCATGATTCAGCCGAGCAGATGACAGTGCATCCACACAATGAATACTAACCAGTCATCTGAAACGTAAATTAGAAGAACTGGGGACGGCAAGAGGTTCATGAAACATAGGCTATATTTCGTTATATCCAGGACACCACCAATTGTAAGGCTGAAAAAAGAAAGGGACTTCCCTGGTGGCACAGTGGTTCAGAATCCGCCTGCCAATGCAGGGGACACGGGTTTGATTCCAGGTCCGGGAAGATCCCACATGCCGCAGAACAACTAAGCCCATGCGCCACAACTACTGAGCCTGCGCTCTAGAACCCACGCGCCACAACTATGGAGCCCACGCACCGCAACTACTGAAGCCCGCATGCCCTAGAGCCCATGTGCCGTAACTACTGAGCCCGCACTCCGCAACAAGAGAAGCCACCGCAGTGAGAAGCCTTCACACCGCAAGGAAGGGTAGCCCCTGCTCACCACAACTAGAGAAAGCCCACGCACGGCAAAGAAGACCCAACGCAGCCAAAAACTAAAACTAAAAATAAATAAAGAAAATAAAGAAAAAAGAAGTTAAAAAACACTGCCAATTAATGTTTTTCTTATCGCTTAGAATTTTAATTTTGTGGTTACTGAAAAAGCTCCTTCATTGGGACAGAGTGTCATCATCTCTCTCTCTCGTACAGACAGAAAAAGGAAAAGGTGAGTGAAGTAAGCTGCTAAGACTTCACTTTCAGGATGTCTGTGCCTTTCGACACAATATCAACCTCCGTGCCATCGAGGGCGTTAGCGAGGATACATTCCTTAACAGATCTCCACCATCCTCTCTGAGATTTTCTTCCAAGCAGCTAACCCTCACCCTGGAAGTTTTGATACTGGCTCTCTCTTGATCTCATTAGAAGGTATCAAGGGATGATTTTCAACAGCAATCAGGATCTGGGTTCTTTCTTCAAATGGCCCTTAAACAGTATGTGGACTAAAAGCACCAGGGACTGTGGTCACAGCTGCCCAACCATGCCATGCCAGCAGAAATAACCTCCATGCCTGCTTGCACAGGTAAGGACACCTCTAACAGACTTGACAGTGTCTGCAGGACACATTGAGAGTAAGTCACATCTGATTTCAGAGAAGTTAAAATGCAAGACCATGTGTGTCACAAAATGGCTCAGATAGTATTGTCACATCTATATGTATAACTGGAATCACTTTGTTGTATACCTGAAACTAACACAATATTGTAAATCAACTATACTTCAATTTTAAAAAATAGTATTGAACTGTGAGGAACCACCATTGCCTATGATGACAAGGGACTCGCCAGATGTCAACATTTAGCAACGGAATAGCTAACAAGGGAGGAATGTTTGCCTTTTTTTTTTGGCTGTGCTACACGGCATGTGGAATCTTAGTTCCCCGACCAGGGATCAAACCTGCGCCCCCTGCAGTGGAAGCGCGGAGTCCTAACCACTGGACCACCAGGGAAGGCCCAATATCTGCCACTTTTAAATGATGTTATTCTATTTCTTTTTAAACTAAATTAATTATTTCCATCAAAAAGATAGTCTTCACAACAAGAGCAACAGTAAGTTGCTCATACAAGGCATACAAGGCAAATATTACACTAGGAAAAATATTTGTAACAGGTCACAAAGTGCTAATATCCTTACAATATAAAGGACTCATAAATTAATATGGGAAAAAACTAATATTCCAGAAGAAAAAGAACGGGTAAAGGACAAAAATGAACCATTCACAAAAGAAGAAAAACTGACCAATGAACATATAAAAAGCTCAGCCTTATCAATGATTAAAAAAAAAAAGCAAAATGAAAATGAAAGCAAAAACAA